GCGGCATTATAGAACACACAGGCAATGGGTACATTCTCTTAATAAAACCGATACTTGAACACAGACAGTACTTTCTTTGAGATTTGAAATGCATTTCGATAATGAAATCATTTCCAGTCCAATTAAATTCTAGACACGATGGGCGATGTCTAATAATGGTGGATACCAGCATTTATCATATAGCTATGTTCCAATGGCAACGCTAACTGGAGTGTCGCTTAATGAAGTTTTTTTTTTTATCTAAAGCCTATCAAATAGGAAATGCTGATGATAAATATACGTAAAATAGATAACAGCTGACGTCAAGGATGTCGTTGGTCAGCGAAGCATACATCCTCCTTACAAATGGAACAAACAGATAATGAGGATGACTCGAACTATCGTAATAATTCAACATATTTTTTAATACCATGTTCCCCCAGCACATTTGTGGTCATAACCTTTCCCAGAACTCATTACTCCCGTCCTGGGTATGACAATAAACTACATCCGCGTCCTGGGTAAGACGATAGCAAGGCCTCTGATCAGAAGGTTTTGCGGAGCGTATATTTAAATACGTGTTCATAGTGGTAGGAAGAAACTACTTTAATGTTTCTATAACCGAAGATTTAACAACGAAATCGGCTGAGACTTCAGAATACGGTGTCTGCATGACTGCACTGGGGTAAGACCCGTCCCCGCTCCATAAAGTGTCTTGGGTATGACGATAAACTACATCCAGCAGCAAGGCATCTGATCAGGAGATTTTGAAGAGTGTGTGACCACCTTTTAATTGCTAGTGTTCCCAGGTCCACCCTGACCCGGGATGGTACCAACTGTTAGGGTCCCAACTATAGAGAAATATTTAACCCCCAAACTGGGGTAAAAACACAATGAAAGTGTAAAAAATAAGTTATTACCTGCGATGCATTTTTGAAGAAATATTATCAGCTATATTTTAATGGAAAATTAGCAGCAAAAATTACTGTCGCCATTAAGGTTGATATGCCGTAAAACAAAATAAACCAAACCAGCAATAAAAATTTTGTTGGCATTAAATAACCCATTGAAGTTGATATGCTGTAAAACAAAATAAACCAAACCAATCTAAACCAAAGAATACATATTCTATTCATACGAATCTATCCTAAACATGTTGTCGGCATTAAATAACCTATTGAGGTTGATATGCCGCAAAATAAAATAAACCAAGCCAATCTAAACCAAAGAATACATATTCTATTCATACAAAACTATCCTAAAAATGTTGTCGGCATTAAATAACCCATTGTGGTTGATATGCCGTAAAATAAAATAGACCAAGCCAATCTAAACCGAAGAATGCATATCCTATTCATACAAATCTATCCTAAACATGTTGTCTGCATTAAATAACACATTGAGGTTGATATGCCGTAAAACAAAACAATCCAAACCAAACCAAAAGGATACATATTCTATTCATACGAACCTATCCTAAAAATGTTGTCGGCATTAAATAACCCATTGAGTGTGACATGCCGTAAATCAAACCAAACCAAACCAAACCAAACCAAACCAACTCTTTCCTTTATCTGTAAGTTTCTACGCTTTAGATTCAATCTTTTCACTGGAAACTGCGAGCCCAAAGGGTGTAAAGGGCTTGTCTCCTTGAGTTTAACATCAGCTATGCTGACGAAGAGGGGGCTAAAATGTTCTCTAAGAAAATTAAAATAGAGTAGTTTCATTTTAGATGCATTAAATGTTTTTTAAAGTCATTTTTTCCACCAGTTAACAACAGATTGTGGGTTATTTCATCCGGGTTAATGTTCAAGGTTTCCTTTCATATAAAACGAATGCCAACGAAAGCGACAGAGTTCAGTATACACTGCTATTAAACGTATGGCTGAGAAATATTTGCTATTTTATCAAATAAAACATTAGTCCTCTCAAATGCGATACTTGTCGAAATAATAATTTCTACTCAAATGACGTCGTTTTTACAGAGATGCTCGTATACATGGATAATTTTAAGAAGCTGGCCTCATATTTTAACCAACATGACGGGAGGCACAAAAGATGATATCAAATCCAAACTATAAACTACCATTTTTCCCCTTCGAAATTATTCGCCCTCGAATTTTCCACTCTCCTTCGCCACGACTCTATGCATCATTGAAGAGGTCCTCAGAAGGTCCATCGTCACGGTCCTCTTGATGGGTTGCACATCAGGAAAACGGATCCCCTTGGGGATCTCCTTGAGTCTGGATGAAAAGGAAAAAAATATCGCATCGAATCATGTAGGGTGGGTAGAGAGGTTGCTTCATCACGGCGATATTTATCAAAGTGACGCGTTTTCCAGCCGTAGTAGCCATCAAGAAGAGCCATCAAGATGGCCGAGATCCCGGGATAATCCTTTCAGGAGTCTTGACGAAAAAGGATGGGAAGGTGCATTAAACTCGAGGGGGTTAGTTTCGATTGAGAATGCTTGTAGTTTTTCTGACACACCTCGAATGTATATATATATATATATATATATATATATATATATATATATATTAAGCAAATATGTGGATATAGATCCGACAGTACGTGACGCCGACGTGTTCGTATTGCGAAACGGAACGCTGATCTTAAAAATTTCAGTTATTCTGTTTTGGTTAGTCTTATGTCGATCGTCTTTTCATGTTGACTTGAATATCGTCTAATTTTAATTAAGTTTTAATAACTATGTCCTGAAGAAGGTCTAACAGACCGAAACGTCTGACGTCGACATTGAAACAACATTAAAACAGCATACTTGCATATTCAGATTTTTGTTTTTCCATAATTTTCTTCATATATATATATATATATATATATATATATAAGGCAATTGTAAGACAAAATGGCTAAACTGTCTATATCTCTGAGATACGGTATTATGGCTACTTATATTATTTAAATTATTTGGACTGTTATCCTAATCTTCATTTCCATATTCACAACATTTCGGTCGTTGTACGCTCTGGCCTTTTTCAGGTTGCTGGAATTTCGAACGGAAACATTTATTTCTTTTGGAGAGTTGAGTTAACGGGAAATAACTGTGATATCCGGAAGAGGCATGATACGTGGAACTAGAACAATCTACCCCCGGTGGACCAAATAAAGGGTCCGGGTTTAAATTCCAATTAACTGAAGAAGACCGGAGCGTACAACAGCCGAAACATTGCGAATATGTTAATGAAAATGAGGATAACAGTCCGACAAAAGAAAATAATGTAAGTAAAATGGGTAACGTTTACCTGTGACGCGTTTCTTTCGCTAGGACTTCATCGTACTGGGTTTGTTGACGGTGTTAGGTCCCTTTCAATTTTTATGTTACAATTTCTTCAATACTGTTTCTTGATATATAAATATATGTATCGTTACGTAATACATACCGGGTGTAACAGCAAAATTGTCCAAATCGTGTGACAGCATAATAGTCCTGAAGAAGACCGGAACGTACAACGGCCGAAACGTTGTAATAAATATGGCGACAAAGATGAGAACAATAGTCCGAATAATGGAAATAATGAGCATAATAGTCTATTCCACAAAACGTTTAATATCTTTAAAAAAACACTTGAATAATTGAGTTTCTTCTTTCCAGTTTTTTGGGTTTTTTTTCACGTTTAGCCATCTTGATATCATTTGTCGTAAGAATCACGAACTCTTATTCAGCTAAAAAGAGAACAGTTTAAAATTGTTTTGTGTTAACCTCACTGTCTTCCCGAGAAAGTGCTATGCGTTAACAACGTAAATTCAAAAGTAACTGTTTTGTCTCTATGCAAGGGAGGTAAGTTATGTGATTATTTTTTTGAAGATCTTGTGAAACTTTTTTTTTAAACTTTCACAGTTTAGACAGATATTAGTTACAAATTCATCAGTACCCCATCAAAATAATAAGCAAAAACTTAAAATTCTGGAAGCCCTTTATTTAAGATAATTCCGGCCAAAAATAAAGTCAATTACGAGTATACCAACAGTTTTCTTAAATATTTGTAGCAGCAAAATTTTATATAAAAACAGTTTAAGTTACTACAATTTCTTTTTAAATTATTTAACCAAACGAGAGGCCCGGTGGGGTAATGGATAGCGGCTTAGATTGAGGAATCGGAGAGCCGAGTTCAAATTCCAGTTGAATCAATTACATTCCCTTACGTGCTAATGCCCTTGGGAAAGGTGTGAATCCTCTTCGTCTCCCTCCAACTATAAACAGCAGGACAGACTGGGTTTCATAGCCTTGGATGGCAACAGGTCTAGAAGAAGGACAACACTGAATTCAAAATCAGCGGAGGCACGTTTTGCACCAGGTCTCTGTATTCGGCCCTTCAAAAAGTGTGGATGGTCCTGCACAAAACCTTCACCACTATAATCAAATCTCATGTGCCGGTGTCGGGCTGTCAGTTTCCTAGGAACTGATCTGCTTGACCCTCATACGTCGAATTCGACCGGAGGGTCGAGAGTGTATATATATATATATATATATATATATATATATTCATGAATTATTCTTGTTCAAATGCATTTCTCTCAGTAATAAGAGGACAATGAAAATATATGTATTGTTGTAATCCGAAAAATGCTATTAGAAATGAGTTATTGTTTTTGGAGCGTGCTGTCGCACCACTGAGTTTGAATTTAAATTTTACAATTGTGCGTTCTTATACAAATATGGTGATAAGTGAATTCTTTTTTACTGGTAAATTTTCTGTCAAAGTGCCATGAACTTTATTGTTCAATAATTACAGTAATGTCGCACTTATTATCCAAAAGTTGCATTTGGATCAGTTATTTAATTTCAATAAACGTGCAATTAATTTACAAATTCATGAATTATTCATACAAAAAACAAATACAAAGGTTAATGATTTAATTGGCGAGAAATCCATTGTCGCGAACAATTCAAATAATATACAAAAACCCCATTAAAACAAGAACAAAATCTATTCCATACCTGAGGACGTCTGTAGGAACAGACAAAAGCTTGTAAAAATAATAAGAATTTATAGAAAGAT